AGAAAACCTAGAAGTTTTAATTCGAAAAAAATACACAAGTTTTCGACTACCCAGGAAACAGTGGGTTCACCACAACAATAGAGCACACAATACCCACAGCCGTATCTGATCCAATTGTGTGCCACCCCAGACGACACAACCTGGGGTTAACACAAAAAATTAATGAAGCAGTAGGAAACCATGTAAAGGCGGGACATTTAACACCCTCTAAGTCCCCTTGGGCATTTCCAATTGTACCTGTATTGAAACCAGATAAAACAGTTCGATTGTGTGTAGACTACAGACCACTTAACAAAATTACCCAGAATGACCCATATCCAACTGGAAATTTGCAAGAGGTTCTAGACAATCTATCAGGTGCTAACTATTTTAGTGTTATTGACTTGGCCCAAGGTTATTTGCAGGTCCCACTGGCCAAGGAAGATCGACCAAAGACAGCGTTTCGATCACCTACTGGGTTTTGGGAATGGACAAGAAGGCCATATGGTTTAAAAGGAAGTCCGGCAACTTTTTCTCGGTTGATGCAGAAGGTTCTAGGACACATTCCACCACATCGGTTGGCATTGTACATGGATGATATCTGTATTATTAGCAAAACGTTTGAGGAACATTTAGTAAATCTCCAGGGAGTATTTGATGCATTGCGACAGCATGGATTACGAGTTAAGCTAAGAAATGTGCTTTCGCAATGAAAGAAGTGAAATTTCTTGGACACAAAGTTTGCAACAAGGGTGTGCAGCCAGAGGAACATAAAGTAAAGGCAATTCGTGCATGGGTTGCACCAACTTGTCTTAAAGAGGTGCAAATGTTTTTGGGTGCAGTTGGGTGGTATCGGAAGTTTATCAAAGATTTTAGTACAATTGCTCGACCATTAACATGGCTTTTGGAGAAAGATGTCACATTCACTTGGGGTAAGGAGCAAGATGATGCATTCAATACACTAAGACATGAGTTGGTTAAAGCTCCAGTATTAGCCCATCCTGACCCCACTCGACCTTTTGTTGTTACCACGGATGCAAGTAAAGTGGGTCTGGGTGGTGAACTATCACAAGAAGATGCACAAGGACAATTACATCCGGTTGCATATTTCAGTCGTGCATTGACCAAACGAGAACGTTCATATCCAACTTATGACAGAGAAGTGATGGCTATGCGAGACACGCTTAAGCATTTTCGGTATTATCTGTTAGGAGCACAAGTAGTGATGAGGACCGACCACAAACCTCTTCTAAAGATCCTGGAACAGAAAGATCCATTTGGACGAAGAGCGACATTGATGAGAGATATAGCAGAATTCGAACCACGCATGGAGTTTATTCGAGGGCAGGATAATCACATGGCAGATGCTCTTAGTCGGATCGGATGGAATGTCAAATGGGAAGAGAGAGATGAGGATACTAGTAAAGTGGCTACTATTGGTGGCTCTCAAGACGAGATTGGTCCATGCAAGGATGTAAGGTTGGACATAAATGATTTCCAACTGCAGCAAGAACGTGACCCAACCCTTAAGCCACATATTTCTACTCACCGAAACGAACATGGTTTATTCACACGAGATCATAAGAAGCAAGTGTTACTTCCAGCATCGCTTGTTCCCACCATATTATCATTAGCTCATGACGAAACAGGGCACCAAGGAGCAGATAAAATGCTTGCAAGAATTGAACCTCATTATTGGTGGCCAAAGATGAAAGCAGAAGTAGAGAACTATGCAAAAACGTACCAACGCTGTGCTGCTACTCTTGCCCAGGGACATAGAAAAGCACCCATTCATCAACGACCAAAAGAAGAGAAACCATTTGCGTTGATAGAAGTAGATCTCAAGGGTCCATTACCGAGAACGAAAGAGGGATTTGACAATATTGTTGTGATAACAGATCCATGTACAAAATATGCAGAGATGCATCCAATTCGAGGACAAACCAGTCAAGTTGTTTGTAAGACACTCATGGGTTGGATATCAAGATATGGTTTACCAAACAAAGTGCACTCTGACAATGGACCTTGTTTCATAAGCGAAACATTTGAACAGTTTTGCATAACCCAAGGCATTGAGCATACTTTCAGTCCACCCTATAGGCCACAAGGAAACGCGGGTGTAGAACGGATTAATCGTACGATGGGGGAAGCACTCACAAAATTGGTAGATAAACATCCCAACCGATGGTCTCAACACCTACCTGACGTACAACTAGCATACAACACATCAGTTCATACAAGTACAGGAGTTTCGCCGTACGAACTAGTTTTCAAGGAGCACCCGCGATCAAAATTCGAAATTATAACAGAGAAGATATCACCAGCAACGGTTAGAGAGAAAACGGAACGACTGCGCGAGACTGTTAGTGAGGTATTCCAAAAAGCACAAGAGTCCGATGCCAAGTTAGCGGAAAAACGCAGAGAACGGTACAACAGTAAAACTTCGTTTAAATCGTTGGGGGTGGGTCAACAAGTTTGGAAAAGAAATTTACGAGCAAAAACATTTGCAGATCGGTGGACGGGACCCTATGTCGTGGTAAAGCCCACGTCGGTAACCAAAACATCTTATGTGGTGAGAAGGAATAATGGAACTAAAGAAGAAATTGTCCATTACAATTACCTTAAACCTTATCAGATTCGACCTGTCAAGAAACCAAAGTCAAGGAATCCACCAAAGAAGAATGGGGTCGGACACCCAGCACTGGGTACCAGTGAGGACAGTGAATCTGACAGCAGAGAAGAGGAAATGCAACCAGAGAGAAGATATCCAGAAACAATTCGAAGACCTCCAGAAAAATACACATAATACTTTTAAAGGGGGGAGTGGTGTGATATTGACATTTATTAGTTACATTGAAATGATACTCGTAAATAGCAAGCCTGTTTGCAGGCTATTAGGCATGGACCTTCGGGGGTAATAATTAACTGAAAGACTAAGACTATTGTTATTGTACATGTGTTCGGGGAAGACAATATATAAATTTACAACCCCAGCACCTCGGGGCCCGGGGCAATTTGCCCCCCCCCCCTGCCCCCACTCTCGGCGGCCCTGGTCATTTGTCAGCAACCCAAAAAGTGACAAACAAACTCGCATTAAAATGTTGGGGGTTTTCTCTGCTTTATATTCAGAATAGAAAGAATGTCTATTAATTTAAAACGGGCTGCGTTTGTAGCAATTTTCAAAATAAACCAACCTTTTACGTACAAAGCAAATTTACCATCATTCGTCCAAAAAATTATAAAAAGTCCCTGTTATATGTGGACTTATCTCGCAGACTTCGGCTGACTAAAAGCAAGCAACGCAGTCAGTAACTAACAGACAATTAAAACAATGTGAAAAGCAATTTTTCAAAATAAACAAACCTGTCGGCTGTTGTGAACTTAATATATTAATATTAATATTTTAATTTATATTGACATTAACTAAGTAATTAAAAAACTGTTTAGGTAAGCACTTTTGGTTTTAGGCTGTAAACAGAGAGGCGAGGCGTGTAAAAATACATTTTAAAACTGGTTTATTTATGTGGTCTTTCATACTACATTCCCCACACAAAAGTGGCGACCCCTGTAGAATTAAGGTATCTAAACTTTACTTAACATGGAAACTCGTAAATGATGGGGCTCTGTTAGGGGGGGGGGGGGTGATGTCGGCTGTCGCAGAGTTTTAAAATCGTCAATTTCGCTTTTTGAAACGTGTCAAATGTCGCCGTCGGAATTTCGCAAGAATAGTCGCAATCACGTGGACAACACGTTTCTTGTATATCGGTCTCATTGTATAACCATTTTGTAGTAACTTGTTAATATTAACAAGTTACGACAAAATGCATTTAAAAAATACTGTGAAAAGAATGTTCGACATGTATATCGACTGTTTATGCTCGAGCAAAACGGTCCGGTTGTACGAAGGCCGATACCGCTATCCACCGGTTAGTGATTTTTCCACCGTTGTGAAATGTTCAAAAAGCTATAAAACTACGCATGTCATGAATGCGGATCTCATAATTAATAAAAAGAAACTTATAAATGCTAAAGTTCAATCTGGATTATAGCAATCAGCGGGCAATTTTAAGAAGCTTGAAAAAAATCGCTATCCTCAGAGGATACTATCCTCGTGGATAGTGTGGTTATGGCGTTATATCACAAATCAAGACGATTAGGTCTTCTGCTTCTTCGACCGGAAGATGTAAACAGCGGAGTTGTGTCCACGCAAACGTTTTCCGAGTCTGATTCGCCCGAATCACCGTCTCTGTTATTATGTTCTCCTTCAGGACTCAAATCTTGAGAGTCTTTAAGGTAATTTGTTATTGTTTTATAAACATCGTCGTTCAATTGTAATTTGTCACTGCTACATAGAACGATTAGATGATGAACCACAGATCGCATTTCTACTTGAAATATAAGTATAAGCCCTAGAAAATTCCTTGGAAATTCCTTCGAAAGTTATGTGTGTTCTTGACCAATCAAAACTTCCCACAACCGAATTTTGATTGGCTAAAACACAATTAACATCAACATAGCACCCAAAGAGTTTTGCCTACTTTGCTTATATAAGCAGAATTTTCGTATTCAACAAGACCCTGGGACGAGGTTGCGTATTCAGTGCCATTAGCTCCATTACAGAAACTTGAGTAGACTGAATGTCTGAGTCTTCTGACTCTTCTCTGTGCCAACGTCGTCGTCGCTTTTTAAAATATAGCGCTGTCGCTGTCGAAAATAAATAAAACAGTGTCGCCGTCGCTTTTTCGCCCTTTACCGTCGTTCGTTGGGATGTCAAAACTGCGCTGTCGCCTAAAAAAGGGCCCTGTCGGCTGTTGCAACTTACCCCTAACAGGGCCCCAATGATCGAGATTTACTGAACTTTACTCTTTAGCGGAAAATATATTATGCCAACAACGCGAAGTCAACAATCACGGAAGCCGAATACGAAAGTACTGGATTGACTATGGAAACTGCGGAAATACGACTTAGAAACAATTTGAAAATGTTGAAACGCCTGGGAGAACAAACGAAAGATATAATCGAGTCGAAAAACGAGCGTAAATGGCAGCGACATCAGAGTAATTTGGAAACGAAATTAAACGATACACACGCATTAATCACAAGTATAGTGGAGCTCAAAATCGCCGAAAACATCGAGGAAGAAGTGATCAACGAGTGGAGTAAAGAACAAGAAAGTGCGTTGGAACATTTTGAGCATATGCTGGATGAACTAGATAATATTTTAACCTTGGGCTTGACTGAGCAAGAAAAGGCGGCGAGAAAACAACAGGAAATTGACGAGCGAGAGGCGGAGTAGCGACTTCGAATTTTGGATGAAAAGGACAAGCGAAAGGCTTATCAAAGAAAATTGGACGAGGAACTAGAATTACAACGTTTAGAAAGGTTTAAAAAGGAGCAACAAACTGCTAAATTACCCAAGCTAACGATAACACCATTCAAAGGTATGTGTTTAGACTGGTTTCGTTTTTGGGAACAATTTGAGGCGGAAGTAAATACTAGGACAAATATGTCGGCAATTTCAAAGTTTTCTTATTTGAGGGAATTGCTTGATGATCAACCAAAGAAAGAAATTACCGGACTGCCATTTAGTGAAGAGAGCTATAACAAGGCCATAGAAATTTTGAAGAAAAAATATGGAAACACTTCTGAAATAATACAAGCCCATGGTAGAGAAATTTTGAAATTACCCACTATTACTACAGTTAATTTGAAACAAATCCACGGGTGTTATCGTTCCTTAAATGTCAGTGTTAACTCGTTGAAAACTTTAGAGAAACTAGACACTCCAGAGATTTTAGTCCTAGAAACACTGGAAAAGTTAGGGCCAATCAAGGCCTTATTCCCTTATGACCTTATTCGTAATGATCCAAATTGGCAAAGTTGGGGTTTTGAAAAATTACTAGAAGCCCTAAGAGATTACACATTAAGAAACCCAGAAAAAGATGACACCCCTAATCGGGCATTTGGGGGTTCTAGGCGAATTAACCGAGCAATTTAATCGAAAAGAAAGGCGTTAGCGGTCGATTGAGAAAGAGCCAAACAAGTGTGTATATTGTGAATCAAGTGAGCATCGAAGCAGCGAGTGTAGTAAAGTGAAAGAAGTTAGCGAGAGACGAGAGTTTCTAAAGAAGAGTAGATTATGCTATAATTGTACTGGAGGTGGTCATGGCGCGGCAACATGCAGGAGTAAGAACTGTGCTAAATGTGGCTGTCGACATCACACTTCACTCTGTTCAACGGAGCAACCCAATTTACCCTATATGATTGGTTCAGCTAAAGAGACTATACACCCTACATTGGTAGTGATTTCAAATGAGCAGAAATTCAGGGCTATGCTAGATATGGGAGCTGGGGAGCTCGTTTGCTTCTTCGACATTTATCAGACATCTTGAAATGCAACCACGCTGGGAATGGAAAAGCATTGAAACCATGACAACAACAGTACGTCAGAAGTTACCTATTTATGATGTCAAGTTATTATCTACTGATGGTAAAGAAGAGCTAAATGTCTCGTTGACCATGTTGGACAAACCTGTTATCACAACTTTAAGCAATCCTAAAATTGGAGAGTTGAAGAAGCAGTTTCCACATTTAAGGGGACCATGTTTCGACAACGAAGATGAGCGTGAGCAACTGATTCATCTGATCCGTGGAGGCGGTGACTTATCGCGGATCAAGACGTCTACATGCCGAGTCGGAGATGTCAATCAACCTGTTGCAGAGAAGACAACTTTTGGTTCGACGGTGATGGGTCCTGGAAAGAATGAGTCACGCATTAGTTATTTCGCCAAACCATTACAAGAAGATTATGAGAAGCTCTGCAACTTGGATGTGCTGGGGTTACAAGATCACCTTATGGGAGACCAGAATATGGTGCATGAAAAATTTAAAGAGTCGTTGCAAAGGAACCCGGATGGAAGTTATATCACCTGTCTGCCATGGAAACCAGTGCACCTACCACTGAAAGATAATACAACTAGTGCCAAAGCTCGTTTGGGAAGATTACTTAAGAAGTTGGAGGGAGACCCGGACTCTTTGCGGCAATACCACAACATTATTCAAGATTAAATCAATCAAGGAATCGTTGAGCCAGCACAGGGGCGTAAGTTTGGACCAGCCTGCCCCTGGTCCTACTGGAATTGGGTGCCCCAAGGCAGGGGTATCCTAGATCCTTTTGAAGTACAATGAAGCTCTTACAATATGAACATTTTGCTGGTCGTTTAGAAGCGAATTTTAATGGTATCTTGAACTGGAAATATAAATATATAGCAAAATATACAACAACAAAAAACACAACTATGCAGAAATAACACTATGCAGAAACATTGAAACAGTGAAATGTTTGCCACTGTACTTATGTGCACGTACAACCTTAGATGAAAAAGGCCCCCGGACAACTCAGTTCAGGGTGCCCCCCTGGTAGCCCGTTTGCCTGGGTGCCCCCGGCTCTTACTGGGTAGAGCTCATAGGAGTTACGCCACTGAGCCAGCACCTGATGTGCCAACGGGGATAACGTCTTTTATCGACCAGTGATAAAAGAGTCCGCTGAAACTACTAAAATGCGCATAGTCTACGATGCCTCCTCTGGTGAAACTGCTCAAGCTGCTTCTCTTAATGATTGTCTTGAGACAGGCCCACCGTTGCAGCCTCTCTTGCACAACGTCGTCGTGAGAAATCGTTTGTGTCCGATTGGGTTGACTGCTGATGTGAAACAAGCCTTCCACCAAATATGGATCCAACCTAAAGATCGTGACGTCTTCCGGTTTTTCTGGATTTCTGACCTGGATCACAAAGACATTGTGACACTCCGCTTTACCAGAGTTCCTTTTGGCTGTGTTTCTAGTCCGTTTTTGCTTGGAGCAACATTGCAAGAACATTTGAGCACTTTGGAACAGAAATACCCAGAAACTGTAGCTGAATTAAGAAATGATCTTTATGTTGATGATGTAATTAGCGGCGGCACGTGCGAGCAAGAGGTGACGAAGGTCAAAGAGGAAGCCAAAGAGATCTTTGACCAGGGACGTTTCACACTTCATAAGTGGCATTGCTCTGTAGCCAGTTTAGAAGAACCAGAGAACAATGACTCGGAACAAACATACGCGAAAGAAAGTCTCGGAACAAAGACTGGCGAAGCGAAAATTTTGGGATTGAAATGGAACAAACTAAAGGACACTTTAGCTGTTGATTTTACAAGTTGCAATGCAACGCAGGAATACACAAAGAGGGGAATCTTGAAGGCTATGGCAAAGGTTTACGATCCTTTGGGGCTGGTATCTCCTGTCATGTTGGAAGCGAAACATCTCTACCGAATTGTCTGCGAGAAAACTTACCATGGGATGCACACCTGGAAAAGGAAATGGAATTCATTTGGCATCAGTGGCTAAAGAAATTGCCTGATGAAATAACTGTTCCTCGAAGCATAGTAAGTCTTCAACTTCCATTAACAGAAGTGAAACTGCACGGATTTGGTGATGCTAGCAGAAAAGGATGCTGTGCAGCAATCTACGGTGTCGTTAAGCAAGGGGAATATACAAGTCAAGGTCTTCTAGCGTCTAAGTCAAGGATTGCAAAGAAAGAATTGACAATCCCGAGACTGGAATTAGTGGGTGCGCACATGGTGGCCAATCTTCTGCAGAACGTTCGAACGGCATTGGAAGAATATAACATCGCTGGCACGTTTGCTTGGTCGGACAGTACGGTTGTTCTATGTTGGATAATGAGCACTAACAGAGAATGGAAGCAGTTCGTAACGAACAGAATTGTTAAGATTCGGCAAAAAGAAAACCTACAGTGGAAGTATTGTCCTACAGCAGAGAAACCAGCAGATATTGGGAGAAGAGGTTGTAAAGCAGATAATCTTAGAGACTTGTGGTGGAAAGGACCAGACTGGTTAGCAAACGAAGCTGATTGGCCCGAAGGGAGCTGTGAGCCCAAACAAACAAAAGAGGTGACTGATGAAGAAAAGGTTGTTAAACAGTTGAGTTTCGTTGCGATAGAGGGTGAAGTAAACATGATACAAGACTTGTTGAATAAGTTTAAGCTGTGGAAAGTAATTCGAGTGGTTGCATGGATACGAAGGTTTATTAATAACTGTCGTTCGAAGTTAAGGAGAAGTAACTCTCTAGTAACACATGAAACTCAAGAAGCTGAAGAATGTATTGTCAAGATATCACAGAATGCGAAAATGTTAGAAAACGACTATGAGGATATTTCAAAACGACTTGGACTTACGCCTGACGAGGAAGGGATACTTCGTTGCCGAGGACGGGTCACGGCGATGGTGGATAGAGAGGTTAAGAAGATCGGTGAAGAGTATTATCAACAAATGTTACAAGTGTTTACGTTACAGAGCGAAACCCTTTGCTGCACCACCAACAGCGCCACTCCCAGAATTTAGAACACAAGGAGATCGAGCTTTTCAAACTGTCGGCGTAGACTTTGCTGGTCCACTTGAGTACAAGGTATCCAAGAATAAACAAGGAAAAGCTTACGTGGAATTGTACACATGCGCGACTTCATGAGCCGTCGGTACATCTACATCTATTACCTGATATGACTGCAGACGAGAGTTCATTGCCAGAAGAGGGTTACCAACCAGAATAGTAAGCGACAATGGAAAAACATTTGTAGCAACAGCGAAATGGCTGAACAAACTTAAACGGAATCATAAAGTGAACAATTTCCTTGCTAGAAGAAATATTCTTTGGGTGTTCAACATGGCCAGAAGTCCGTGGTGGGGCGGCTTTTTCGAACGGATGGTGGGATTCATGAAAGTTGCGTTGAGAAAAGCTGTCGGCAGAGCAAGTCTTACCTTTGATCAACTGAAGGAAGTACTTATGAACGTTGAAGTTCAATTGAATAATCGCCCTTTGGGATATCTGGAGGACGATATCGAGTCTTTACCACTTACACCAAACACTTTAATACATGGAGCGAACATAAGTTTACCTGAAGAAGATCTTGATGACATGGAAGAAGACGAAGTAAAGAGAATGAGTAAAAGAGCTAAGTATATTCAAAGGTGCAAAGACACAATCTGGAAAAGATGGACAACGGAATATATCAGATCGATCGTTAAGAGAGAGGCGTTTAAATCAAACTGGTAAAACGTCTGAAATTAAGATTGGGGAAATTGTTTTGATTAAAGGGGAAGAGAAAGATCGAGGACAATGGAAGGTAGGTGTTATCCAAGAGTTTGTAAATGGAAGAGACGGTGTCATCAGAGGAGCGAAATTGAAAACTGTTAATGGAGTTCGTGAACGTCCATTGCAATTACTTTACCCGATGGAATTGTGTGTTTCAAAGAATGCTGACAAGAAAGTGATGAAACAGTTAAACCCGAAAGCTGAAGAGTTCCAACCAAGAAAAGAAAGAGCAGCAAAAACAAACGCTAAAAAGAGACTTGAACAATTAGCCAAAACTGTCCAAGACGATGAGTTATAGTTGTTTCTTAGACATTTAGATTGTCTAAGAAAGGGAGAGGGTGTCGTAAACTTAATATATTAACATTAATATTATAATTTATATTGACATTAACGTACTGTTTAATAAACGAGCCGGGGTGTTTTATTAGGTTTAAAGTCACGAGCGCGTAGCGCGAGTGGCTTTAGGCCTAATAAAACACGACCTGAGAGTTTATTAAACGGCTTCAAACACGACTACAAATTCAATAGATATACTGCCTTATTAGTATTCCTTATATAAAGAATACTAATAAGGACACGACTACAATAGATAGTGCCTTATTAGTATTCTTTATATAAAGAATACTAATTAGAGTGTTTTATCAGGTCTAAAGCCACTGCACGTGACATATTGTGGTTGACATGATTTGCCAATAAGCTTATGAATTATTATCATTAAGCTTATGAATAAGTAATTAAAAAACTGTTTAGGTAAGCACTTTTGGTTTTAGGCTGTAAACAGAGAGGCGAGGCGTGTAAAAATACGTTTTAAAACTGGTTTATTTGTGTGGTCTTTCATACTATATTCCCCACAAACCTTTTACGTACAAAGCAAATTTACCATCATTCGTCCAAAAAATTATAAAAAGTCGCTGTTATGTGGACTTATCTCGCAGACTTCGGCTGACTAAAGCCACGCAAAAATGGCTGCGTTATAAAAAGTCGCTGTTATGTTACCCCCCCCCTCCCCAAGACGTCCCTGATGTATATACTCAGCAATATGAAATTAATATATCTTAGTTTCCTTGCAAGACGTGACATGAAATTGTCCTATATATATTGTCTTTGTCCGATATCTTGCTAACATACATACATACATACTTTATTGTGTTCCTCAAAGAGGCTTTTCAACACTAATTTATATGGAATGGTGATTAAAAAACAAGGTTAAGATACATATATAAAAATTTACTAGGAAAAATCTATTATTAAAATAGTCCAATACTAAAGGCCCTGTTACACGGTGCAATTTTTCATGCAACTTGTCTCGCAATGTTTAAAAAAAGATTTTGATAATGCATTGCAAGAGGTGTTACACGCTGCAATGATATTCATGCAACTCGCAACGATACGGGACAGAGGCATGCGAAGAGA